TCTCTCCAGAGTATGTCAAGTCTTCTCCTTTGACCAAACCAGCCCAGAGCTTGATTTACATTCATGAGTAAAAAGATGCTGTCGGTCCCATGAGCTAGAACAAAATTGTCCAAGGAAAAGCATGAGAAAGGGAGGTGAGGGTTCTCCAGGGGGGCCTGGGATCATGCATTTTCAACTGATCAGAAAGGAAGCTTTGGGTCTTTAGACCTTAGCGTGGTAAGGTCTAGTGCAGTAATAGTTTTTCGTGCAAAGCTGTAGTTGTTTGATGGCTTTCCTATTTGGTGTGATGGGATGACACAGAGCAGATGGAGCAGGACTCTGAGAAGAGTCTCATGATGATAGCACAGGAAGTAATGGACACAAGTCTGAACATGAGAAATTTGGATTAAACATAATTTTTTTTTACCATGAAGGTGGTTAAATACTGCAATATGTTGCCAAGAGAAACTGTGAAACCTCGATCTTCAGAGCTGTTCAAGTCTCAGCTGGACAGGGCCTTGAGCAACCTGATTTAATTAGGCCTGTTTTGAACAAGGGAGTCAGACTAGGTGACCTGTGGAGGTCCTCTCCTTTCACAGTATGCGACACTGATTCCACTATTCTGTGGTGACACAGTCACTGAAGCTGTTGGACTTCATCGTCCTTTCCTTTTTTCCATAGCCTGAAATGTCACACGATGACAGGACATCGTTACGTCCCATACAGAGCCATGTGCTTCTGATCCAGCACCAGGACCACACAAACATCAGTGTGGATCCACTGTGCTGCTGTAGAGCAAAACAAGGTCCGGGCTTCTTCCCGATCTGCCCTCTGCGAACAATGAGTCCCACAAGTAAAACAGTATGCAGTGTGATACCTAAGCCTGCCTTAAAATCAGATTGGTAGCTACCGTCGTTCAGCAGAACTTTAAGTCAACAGTATCACAGCGGAGCACCTGTCATGAGGGAAGCCCTCATATCTGGACCGTTTACCTCAGAAACAAAGACAGTATTTGTGACCATGCTCATTTCTAATAAAGGCAGGCCATAGCCCTCCAGTCCCTAATCTTTCTCTATTGTTGCATATACTTTTCTTGCAAGCTTCACTCTCCCAGGGTTGCAAATACTTCCCAGGTCAAGGTGGTATTACCATGCAGCTAGCTGCTCACCAATGAGTTTTGGATGCTCTTGGAAAAACATCTGGAAAACCTAATGGCCTTTGTGTCTCTTCTATCCTCTGCCCTATTCTTAGGGGTTGGTGGTTTTGTTTTTTTTTTTTCCCCTGCTTAGCTGATAGCTGTGCCTTGATGTGTCCTTCTGGCCTTCCTTGTGTTTGTGTGTTGGCTTGCAGTGCCCACCCTGCTGTAAGTACCATCTAGTTTGGAATACTCCAGTCTTGTAGGCGTTGAAGCTATTTGGGGAGCAGAGGAGAAGGCTGTCATTTAAGCTGTTTGTGGAGACCAAAGGCTGCTCTGCCTCCCCTCTGGGAAAATCACAGAAGTGCCGAAGAAGAGGGAGAGCATGACCTTGGCAGTAAGCGACAGGCGAAGACGCCAGCTACATGCTCCTTGTCTAAGCTAAGGATGCCAGTGGGAAATGTGGATTGAGAGGAATTGGAGTTGCCCATTCTAGAGTTGTTTTGGTCTTAGTTGTGTCTTTGGGGATACCAGCAGGAGGATATTTGTTCTTTCCATGCCGTAGTGGGTGAAATCGGGGTCCTTTTCTATCCTCCTCCATTCATCTGTACTGGAATGGCTCCCCCTACCCCTGACACAGCCCTGAACCATCCAAATCTCTCAATGGAGGAAATTACAGTTATTCATAATTAAGGGTTGACAAAAAATGTTGCTAGTGTCAAGGGAATGGCAGGCGACAGCCAGAAAAACATCATGTCTCCAGAAGACGGGCGGCGGGAATATCCCTCTGAATAGGGCTGACGTCAGCTCTCGGAATTTGGACAGCCTGGAAGGGTTTGGGGCTATTTTTCCAAGATATCATAGGTCAGGAATCAATGTTATTTTTAAGTCTGTGTCCCCCGAGCAGCTCTGGTGCGTGAAGGAGACTTTCTCTCCCCCTCTCCCTTCTTTACACTCTATTTCTATGAAATTTTTGCTTCTCTTCCTTCCGAGTCATGCCACAAATATGTCCTTCAGGTTTATTTATTCTTCTCCCTATCTATTCCTCCCGGCCTGCTCCCGTCTTGGTTGGGTTGAAGGGATGGCGTCAGCGTGGCGCGTGTCTGGGATGCTCAGGCGAGGCATCACAGAGAAGAGATCATGTTCTCCTAATTTGCCGTTTCCGGTTGAGAGAGTTTTCTCTCTGCAAGCTGATGTGGCTGGAGAAAGTGTTCTGGGAATGCTGCTTTGTGGTGGGAGATCTCAGGGCCTGGTGAAGACAAGCTGGTCAACCCATCTTGCCATCTAATGCTGCCATATAGTCCAGCCAAGATTTTCTAAAGTGACCGAAGTTTTGGAGCTGCTTTGTTGCTGAGAAGGTGGGTGAGATTGTCTGCAGCCCAGTATGGCTTATTGGAGCTGACGGCAGGGGGGAGGCAGCCAGCAGAACCTGATTATCTGACACTTCTTAGGTCAGTAATGGCTTTTGAAAGTCTTTTTGACTATTTCAGATCCAGGGAAGTGGCTACCCTTGGGTTTACCAAGCTGTATTCTACATGCCATCCTGCTCTAGTCTGCTTCTGGAATCCTTCCCCCCCACTTTTTTTTTTCTCCTTTTCCGTTTGCTGTAGCAACCTCTCTCTTTCTAAACAGGTCTGTTGATATAATAACTTGGCTAGGGATCTTGCCATCTCAAACAGTGTGTTTGCACATCTCTCGTTGGTTTCCCTTCTAATTTTCTAATTTGCTTTTTTCCCCTTAGCCCATGCTCAGCTTTTGGTCCTTCCTCCCATAATTCAATGAGGTGAGGAATGCACTAATAGATGCAGCTTTTGCAGAAGCTGCTCGTTCATATATTGCTGGTGTGCCTTCATGGCTGGTCCAGTGTAAAGAAACGACCACGTTTCCATCCTGATCTTTCTGTGCAGCTCAAAGATGCCAATTGCTCCTGGAAGCATGGGAATAAGTGAAATGCTTTCCACCACCTTAATGTTGCTGTTGGCCTTACGCTACAGGTTAGTCATTCTTATGACATATTTCCACAATGGTGCGTTTCCATCGTCATTCCACAGTGATGTATTTGAAGCCTTTCCATGAGTTTTTCCCCTGCTTAGAATCTCTTAAATTAATGGCTTCACAAACCGTGAGTCAGGGTCCTCAGATTTTGAAAACTTAGAGACAATTTCTTCTAGAGCTATCTGTCCTAATGCTGTCTCAGCCCGCAAGTTTAATGGCACTGATGGTGGAAATGGTAGTACTTGATTTAAAAGAGTATCTGGCATTTGCAGCACAGCTCAAGGCCCTACAATCCCACTGCTATTATTATTGGAATTATTATTATTATTGTTATTATCAAGTTAGATACTGATGATTTTACACAGCTGAGGACATGACCTCCCTAAAGATCAACGCTGGGACTGTTGATGTATTGGTGAATGCAATATAGACCTCTGACCTGTACAGAAACAACCATGCAGAGGGGAGAGTGAAACCTAAAGCGCTGAGAGACATGCCATGTTGTGAAGATTGTTTTGTGGACACCTGGATGTACCCATGGGTGTTACTGCTCTGCTGCAATGCCTATTGCCTACCCACCTCTCCCAGCCTATTACCTTCCTGTGTCCTTTAGAAATGGATGTCTTTGATATCCCCATTCCAGTATATTTTCCATTCCTGCAGCTCTTTATTCCCAGCTCTGGACATGGGAGGAGAGACAGGCAGGAGTGCTGTCATGAAGCTTTCCCCGCTAAATGTGTGCTTTGATGGAGCAGTTTCCAGAGATGTTCCTCTCTCCCCATTAAGCTTATTTGGGGACCTTCTGCGCTTCCCTGCCCTGGCTCTTGCAGATATCCCAGACTTCCTCTCGCAGGGGATTCAGATCACATGCAGAGACAGATTTGTTGAAGAGGGCCCTGCAGCTGGCTCAGTGCTGGGGCAGCACACTTCTCCGAGGTCTGTTTTGAGCAGAGCTTGAAGAGTCATGTCTCAGAACAAATTCTGAGATATCTTTTGCTCATGCTCTTCCTTATACAATACACAGGGCTGGGTGTGATGCAGCACGCTTCTTGATGTGTTACGTGCCTGTGCTCTGCAGGGACCCCTTGTGCTTGGAACCTCTGGCATACTGGTTATCCTGGGGAAAAGCATATCATGGAGAGCCATGGTTGAGAACTTCTCCAGACAGGCTAGAGAAGCTGGAGAAGAGACTTCTTGGCCCCAGCTGCCAAACCTTCTCTGCTCCCAAGAATGAGGTTTGATGTCTATTCGTGCCCTGACCTGTATCAGGGACAACCCTTTGTTGGAGCCAGCTGGAGTTCTGGATTCCTTTCCTTCTCCTCACACCTTGAGGAAAAATGACTTTTTTTCTCCTCAAATTCCACTTTTCTGATGCCAACACCCTTCTCTTTTCCCTAGTAGGACTGACGTGTGCATTTCCTTTCTTCTCCCATTGTTCTTCCTCCCATTTTGTCTCCTTTTATGCTATTCTATGGAGTCTCTTTTCAATTCAAGGCAGACTCTGTTCTTGGATAACCTTCTCTAAGGGTAGAATCCCTCAACAAAGCTATTGTAATTAGAAAAAGTTCTTCAGATTTGCATGACTACCTCCCTTACAAACCCCTCACTACCAGTCCATGAATCTCATAGAGCAGAATTAATACTGTCACTCTATTGAAAGTTGCTGAATTTTGCCACGCTTTCCTAAATGCTGTTGGTTTCAGAGGGTTGGTGATGGGGTCTCTGGGTCTGCCGAACACTTTCCAGGGTTTCTTTGGTGGCTCCTGCTTTTTCTCTTTTTTTTTTTTTTTGGTGGCTCCTGATTTTTCTCCTTTTTTTTTGGTGGCTCCTGCTTTTTCTCTTTGTTCCATTGAAGTCTATTGTGACTGTGTCCTCTCCCTTATCCTTGCAGGGCATATGTGAGTGTGAAGGAGCTGAAGGAGGCACTGCAGCTGAACAGCACCCACTTCCTCAACGTTTACTTTGCCAGTTCAGTGAGGGAAGAGTTGGCTGGTGCTGCCACTTGGCCGTGGGATAAAGAGGCCCTTAGTCACCTTGGTAAGTAAGCTACCTCACTCATGGGGTCTCAGGGTTGTTGTTTTTTCTCTTTCTTGGTTGATTTGGCAAAAAAAAAAAAGGCAGCTATGATTTGGTTCAACATTGAGAATGTTTAAGAAGGTTGTTATAACAGGCTTTGGGTGTACCAACAGCTGGTGATGTAAGGAAATGAGCTGCCCTGTGTCCATGTGGATAAGTTGGTGGGGTTACAGCCTGACCAGGGACTTCCAGTTTGGTATGAGAACATTTTAATGGTGAAGGCAGTAAGACAGTGGGACAGAGAACTGGGGGAGAGCTGCAAGTTCACTCTAAGTGCAGGCTGTGGAGAAGGGTTTAGACATGCTTTTGTGGGGCCTTTCAGGTCTTCATTCTGGAAATGGTGAACTTCACTTTGCAGCATGTAATGACAAACAGATAAACCAGGAGTGTCAGTGATTTCAGAGCTGAAACTCCAGATTTGAGTGACTCCAGAGCTGATCAGGCAGTGAGCACTGGCCACTTCCGAACTGAACTGCAAATGTGAGGATGACTATCAAATTAAACCATGCTTTTATAACTTGGCTTACTACCTGCTGGAGGCAAGGTTCTCCTTGGCTTCAGTGAATTCAAGGCAGACCCTTAAGATCACCAGTCCTAGCAGGCTACAAAATAGTCAAAACGGCAACTGCTTCACTAGAATGTAAATGTATTGTGTGTTCTCTCCTATTTCTGCTGTCTCTCTTTTTCCTGCCTCTCCCTCCACCTCTTCAATGTCGGAGTTTTCTGGCAAAAGCCCTTTACACTTTGCAGTCAAAACATCTAAAGTGTTTCTCAATAAGTAACTGGAAATAATTACTCCTGACACCTGCACGGCAGACCTAGACCTTCTGCTTTTAGAAGTGCGTGATGTTCAACCCTTAAAAGTTTTACACTGCTGTTAAAGACCTGTTTTAAAGTTCTTTTTTGCCAGCTTCACTCCCTCAATGAGTTTCAGGACTGTTTTTTCAATAGCCTATTGCTACAGTTGCTTGTTGAGGAAGGCAGATCTCCATGAAATTTATTCCTTCAGCTTCCAGAAATCACTTCCAAGGCTCAGCTTGACAATCATCTTACTACAGCAAGTGCTTCAGCCACACATGTTCTCTTTAGACCCCTCCCAAGGGCTCGAAAGGAGTTGTACGGAAGGGTAATCAGGGTGATTGGTTTCATCAAAAGCTTGCACTTAACTCCAGTCTCAGAGTTTGTGTCCAGCCAGGGACACAAGAGGTGGCACCATCTGGAAATGTTGAATCAGGGTTTTACCGTAGAGGTTAAGAGGAAAAGGGGTGTTGTCTTGGCTCTGGTGCCAGAGCTGTGAAGTAGTGAAGCTGGATCTGAACTTCTTTGAGACTCTGGCACAGACTGAAGACTTTGGTTCGAGGCTGTCCTTGGTTTTAGATTTAATGAGCTTGGGAGGGCGGGTGGTGGACTATGTTCTCTGTAAACAGGAGTCTCCACCACATCATCAAGTGTTTTGTACCATGCACAATGTATATTATTGTCCAGCACAGAAGAAACCGAGCAGGTCATGAATTTACAGCTTTTGTCAAAACCTCTCACAAGAGGCTACTGGAGAATCTGAGCAGATGTGAAGGTAAAGCAGTGAGGAAAGAGCAAGGAAAGCCTTTGAAGGAGTGAATAGTAGTTTGAGAAAATTTCCCAAGCTTTATGTAAGAACCTAACAGTGACCAGTGGTGGTGACAGGTCTTTATACAACAGAGGTCTGTACCCAAGAAGACAGACTCCTTCGCTTGCAGTGAATCTTGCTAATCACCTGTCTATCCTAACCTCAATATTTTAAGATCAGCACACAGACCCTATTCCCCTCATGCCACTGCCTGCTCCCGCGGAGCAGAAGTGCCTTCCTGAAGGTTTAGGGGTGGTTTACCATTTTAGACCAGTAGTAATACTAACCAACAGCAACTGCATTCATTGAAGCATAAGAGATAATTACTGATTTGGAGAGGGTGATGTGGTCTATGACACTTCTATAGGCAGTATTTCAGCTGCTGTGGAGCTCCTACACAGTGACAACTTGCAGCCAGCTAACACCAGAGGTAGCAGATCTCAGGCCTGTTTGCACCACTCCTTCTAACCGTACTGTCTGTCTCAGTCTTTACACCATAATCGCAGTGAGTTCCTCTCAAATTCAGAGCTCTTGCTTGGAGTCTGGAATGAATTTTCCGAGAACTTTAGAAGTAAATCTTTTCAACTACAAAACACAAGGAGTCAAAGAACTCCTGGCCTATAAAAAACCTTAGCTTTCTGCAGTAGAAAGCCTTGCCTCAAAAACCCTAGCAATGTAATAATGCAGATGCTTTAAACTTCATGTGTAGCTGCATGTGAACTGTATTTGCATAAACATGGTCAAAAGTCAAGGGAATTGTGAATATTTGATGTTATAAATACTTTCTGTAGTTATATAAGCTGAGGCCAGCTCATATATCTGGCTGAGGTCAGTGGATCCTGAAGGAGGGCCAGCCATTCCATCAAAGGTACCTTAAGCAATGGCCATCTTCCTGTCTGACTAACCGTCATGCGTTTGTTCCATTAATTGCTGTGACTCAGTCTTGGGGAAGACTGGCCTTATGATACAGGTTCAGCTTTGTGGTTTGCTCTTTAAAGATCCAGTGCTTGCTTGAGCCTGCGACCTCTGCGACAGCCCTGAGCCAGGAACGGGTTGGCTTCTCGGGCGCTAGCTTGAACCAGAGTCCTTCATCATTGCTGTTGAGCATGGCTAGAAGCAGGGTAACATCCTGGGACCTTTTGAGGGATGTGTGAATGAAGGCGAAGTGGGCTCCACACCAGTGCAAATCATTCACTGTACTGAGAATGTTTAATGGTCTGGGCATCTCTTGCTGCTCGAGCAGAGTTGAGGCTTGGCCTTGGGCATGTTACCCAGCTGTAGCTGGTAGGTCTGGTCTGGAGGGAGAGGATGTGGCAAGATCAGCCCTGCAGTTTCCAGCTGCCTAGTCTCAGTTTGGTGGGCAAGTCCAAAGAAGGCTCTGGTTCACCTGCCTTGGCGTGCTGGACCCCCTTGATATGACATTGAAGTTTTCAGCTTGGTTGTCTAAATTGCTGACATGGGGGCCTCGTTGGGCTGGTTCTCAGGCATGAGAGGGAGAGCTCACTTAAAGCTCAATTTAGCCCATCTCCCAGGGCAGGAGGAGGCAGAAGTGAGAAGGAAAGACTGATCTGCAGGTGAGGGAGAGGGGAGGCTGATCTTGTTGGGATGTTGCAAACACTTCTATATCTTGCCTTCACAGCCAGGACCCTGCAGAGGGGAAATACAACTTCCTGGTCCAAAGCTGGGAGCTCTCCCAGCTCATCAGGGAGCTGTGGAGACAGGGAATGGAGAGATGGGGATGTTCTGGAAGGAAGGCAGAGTTCTCATGCTGTTTCTAATCCTGCCATCTAATTAGCTGTAAAAAAAAAAAAAAAAAAGTACTAAAAATATGACCATCTTTGTGGAGTGTGGGGGAGGAATGGGATAGGGGAAGCCAGCAGAGAGGAGGGAGGGACAGGGTATCCCAGCCTTGGCATCCCTCCCCTGTGACAGTTTTCTCCCGCCCTGTACTGGAATCCCATTTATTCCCCCACATGGGTCGTTGGGTTTCTGCTGGAAGGAAGGCTGCTTGGTCACAGGGCTTCCCGTGCCCCTGGTGCTCGGACTCGTTCCTTGTGGTTAGTGCCGCAGGATGCGTGCAGGGCTTTCACATCTAATTTATTTGTTTATGAACACTATTTTCTTTCTGTGTGCACATTCCTCCCTTCAGACCTTTGGGCAGGCAGCCCCCTGCCTTGTTCAGGCTTGGGTTTGGCTGCAGAGATGCTTTTTCTGTCTGTTCGTTCTTCTCTCATGCCCTGTTTTCATTAAAATGAGAAGCAGCTTTTTTGTGTCTACTGGGTTCTCCATCGAAGGGATGCTGTTTGCTTTCTATAGCATTTACCAGCCTGGTAAATGAGAAGGGGATAGCTTGCAAAAACCTGACGATCAGCAGGACACAACATGGAGGTCCCAAAAGGATTTTTAAACCTCTGTACCTTCTTGTGACCCATCTCCAGTCAACTAAAGGGATGGCTGATGGGATGCAAGGTCCTCGCTCTGGTGTTTTACAACTGGGGAGAAAGGGAATACAGCTACTTTGTGATCCGTCCTTTACCTCAAGCCAAGCTGCCCTGGGCATAGGATCCACACTGTCAGGAGGAAGAACAACAAACACGAATTTTATCTAAGTAGTATTGCCACTTGACAGGTCAATAGTGTCTCCCAGCCCTTCCATGAGCCACACGCAGGATGGTCCCTAGAAGATGCCACCCTTTTTTCTTCACCATCTTGCGACCCTGTTGGACTTGAGAGAATTGCTCAGTGCATCCCTGAAGGCCCTTTTCCAGCCCCAATTCAGTGTTCACCCAGCATGGCTCCACCAGAGGAGTCACAGTCCTGCTGGTGTCCTGCCAGGGACACAGTGATCTGAAGAAAGCCCTCTCTTGGAAGGAATGTCCTGTACTTGAGGACATGAGGTAGTCCGGTAGCGCACGGAGCTGATCCAGGAGTAGATTTCAAGCAGTCTATGCTGTGGCTGGAGACAGGATCACACAGTGGCCCTCTGCCAATTTTAACTTCGCTGGCAGAGGCGGCAATCATCAGCAGAGATGCAGTAGCAGAAACTCTGCTGTGAGGTAGCTGGCACAGTAAATCCTCCAGGGCCCTGCAAAGGAGGGAGCAAGCTGTGTTGGAGCCAACTGTTCGCCACGCTGCCATCCAAACTGCCTAGGTTAAAAGTAGTTGGGTAAAAACAGCCTCTCATGCCATGGAGGTATTGCCTAGAATCAGCCTGGGCATATGCTGGGGTCTGCTTTTTGCCCCTTTGTCTTGCTGCTATTCCCCAGCACTCATTCCACTGTAACGTGGCGTGGAAAATTGGATGGAGCAAGGAAGCAAGATGAGGAGAGGAGGGGAAATGGCCACTGAAAAGCCTTGAAACTGGGAGAAAAGATGTAGAGTTTCCAAAGACATTTTCATTTGGGCAAAATAGAAGTAAATGAGAGAGAGTAGGTAAGTTTTATTCTTGAACATTCTCTATGGACAACTTGCCAGCAGATGTGGTACAGAGTTGTTGGTACAGAGTGTGAATCCCAGGTCAGGAGTCAGAGATGCTCGCAGTGAGCAAAGAGGAGGCTCTGCTCCACTTGGCTTTCCTCAGCATCATTGCTCCTTGCTCTTCCCATGACAGGTGGGTGGGCACGAGAGGAAAAACACCTTGTGCTGCAGCCAAGGGTCCTATCCAGCTCTGTGCTGTTGCTGTCAGTGTGAGGTGGCAGCTCTGAGCAGTTTCTGGGGGACTTAGTCTGTATCCATGCTCCAGCATCTTGGACAGTTGAGCCTGCACCAGACTGGTTTGGAGATGAACTGCCCCTTTGTGCCCCCTTGAGCCAAGGGGCTGGGGTGACCCAGTGAAGAGGATGGGGTGGGAGGTTCTCACCTGGTTCACCTCGTGCACCTTGCCCACACGCAAACCCCTCTGAAGGGATCTTCAGAAGCTACATTTTGGAAAATCTCACTCCAAAATACACAGTAAATTTGAGTCAGCTTTGTGGTAGAAGCTTAGAGGATTGCAACAGCATCTAGTATGAGTTTGAATTTACTCCTTAGGGTCTGGTTTGGAGGGTGAAGCAGTAGACCATTGATGACATTTCAGTAGGAGCCAGAGGCAGTGCACTTGAATCTTCATATGGACTTGTGCTGAAAGTGGCTTCTAGTTGACATGGCCAAGCATATCAGGAATTTGCTAGGCACCTTTTTCTCCTTGCCTGCCATGGGAACTGGTATGCTGTAGCCACTTGTCTAGGCTTGGGAAGGTCTTATTTCCTCTGGTTTAAAAATCTATCCCAGTAAACCCAGAGCATGTCTCAGTTTGCTGTCTTGGTTCCAAACTTCATTTGGAGTTGTAAGTGTGAACCAAATTATAAACATGCGAAAAGACACAGAGGGAAATGGTAGCTGAAATGATTCAAGATGTTGGGGGGAGTGGTGTGATCAGAAGGGGAAGAAAAAACACCCATCCCATTCCACTCCAAGAGGCCAAAGGAGCCCTCTTCCCATCCTACAAGATGCTTAATACGTTCATCTTCATTTCTCCATCTGGCACCTCATTTGTGACCTGGAAGAAAAATGAGAGGAATTTTATCTAGCACAGGTGAGTAACTGGCTGCCTTCTGTCTCTCTGGATGATGTTCTCTGTACTTGCAATTCTAGGTGGAGTTGTCCTCAACCCTGCTTATTATGGTATGCACGGCCACACGAACACCATGATCCATGAAGTGGGACATATCCTGGGGCTGTACCATGTCTTTAAGGGAGTGAGTGAGCGGGAATCTTGTGACGATCCCTGCAGGGAGACAACTCCATCTATGGAGACGGGAGACCTCTGTGCTGACACTGCCCCCACCCCAAAAAGTAAACTCTGTCGGGATCCAGACCCTACCAATGACACCTGTGGCCAGACACATTTCACAGGAACGCCCTTCAACAACTACATGAGTTACACAGGTAACGAGTAATAGTCGTTAAAAATTGTAAGGGATCACCTTCCCTAGAAACTTGGGGTTCTCTCCCTTCCGCCTCCATCGATAGTACCTTCCCTCATTTCCTAACTGATGTGCTCCCTCGTGGTGGGCAGGGACGTGGGAGGCTGCAGCCTGTGCTTGCCGTAGCTTCTTAGCCCCTTTCTTGCTGCAGGCTGTTTCCATCCCTCCCTCCCTGCCAGTCTGTAGGTCATTGGAGATGCACAGAGGTCATTCTTGTCTGCATGATGGTGTGCTTTTGTTCTAAAAGTCCTGAAGCAACTTTGGTGTTACTATTATTTATTATTATTACTAGTACTGTTATAATTTTGGACCTTTGAGTTGCCTCCTTTTGGCTTGGTTCCCAAAGGCATGCTGTGGAGGGCTGGTGTTGCTCCTGGCAGCCCAGGAGGACCAAAGCCTGTAGAGCAATTCTGTCACCCCCTGCTGACCCACTGCAAGTCCCACGAGGATGGTGGCACTGCCCAGATGTTAGAGCTGGTGCGAGCTGGTGTTGAGGTCACTGCAGTCGGGAACTGCTGTGGCAAGTGCAGGGATGTGGAGCTGCTGAGGCAGTGCCATCTTGTGGCTTTGGGGACACACGACACCAGAGAGTCTTCGCAGGAGAGCAACCACACACTGGTGTCTCCCAGGTCTTCCCAGAGGTCCCCAAAACAGGGTTTAGCGATCAGGAAAGGTGCATATTGTCATGCCCCGCTGACCTATCCCTGCCACCTCTCTTCCCCCAGATGATGATTGCACCAACACCTTCACCCCCAACCAAGTGGCCCGGATGCATTGCTACCTGGACTTGGTGTACCAGCGCTGGGGCCAGAGCAAGAAGCCCGCACCCATCCCGATCCCTCCCATGGTCACCGGGCAGACACAGGACTCCCTCAGCATCTACTGGCTGCCTCCCATCAGCGGTGTCATCCATGAGAGGTAAGAGATCTGCTGTTGCGATGGTCTTGGGCTTACACAGGAGGCTGCTGGAAGGGACATGGGATCTTCTGTGGTGCAGACCCCCCTATCCCCTTTCCCCCTAGGTTGTCTCCAGCAGAGCCCTCGAACACAAAAGCTGGGCTGCTGCAATGGCCCTGCTGGCACAGGGGCTCTCCTGCAAGCTTTCTGCTGTTGGGGTGCCGGGAGGGGAAGCCAAAGAGCGTGGGGAGGCAATGCCAATTCTTAAACCCCAGAGTGCAATTATGGAATGAAAAATGAGCTTCATTTAGCACTTATTGTATAAAATAACTATTTACCAGGAGGAAATGCAGCCTTGTGGTTAAGGCAGGCAGCTCGAACCACAAGAGCTGGGTTTCGTTCCCAGCACTGTCACAGACTCACGATGTAACTGACTGGGGGTAAGTCAGGAAACTTTTCAAGCCGGAGAAACAATGCCAAGGAGCCAGAGTTGTTTGGCTGGTGAGCAGCGCATGGCCCTGAGCGCCGGATGGCTGTCTTCCTTCTCCCCAATACCAGAGAGTCACCAAGACCTGGATACAGTACCAATGGCTCTATTCAGCAGCCCCTCTTACTAAAACATTGTGGTTTCCACCACGTTTTAGGTGTATGCTTTTATTATGGGACCATAAGCACATGTTAAAGAGCTCTTGAACTTGTTTTAAAGCTGTTTCGCAAAGCTGTCTCTTGCGTTTGAAAGAAAAGTGCTGTTTGAGGGCAGTTGGGACGCTTTTGCGTCAGTGTTTGCTGCCTTTTCAAGGAACTGGTGTTCTCCACGATGGGCCTTTCACCCAGTGATAACAAGAGCATGTGCCTGTCATCCCTTAGGTGTGAGAGCCTCCGAGTGCTGGGTGGCCTCGAGTCATCCAAACTACTTTTTGTGGGGGGGGAATGGAGCCGCTTGGGAGCAGGAAAATACTGGTCTAGGATGCAGGTGCTGGATCTTTGGATCCATCCCTGGCTCTTGTTCATAACTGGCTCAGGAGCAGGGTAGGGGTCCTGCATCCCCTGAGATGAACTGGTCAAGGAAATGGGCTGAGGCTGGCCCTTATTACAGAAAAGTCCCTTTTTTTTCTTCCTGGAGAGCACAGTGGGACCCTGTTTAATTGACCTTATTGTGACCATTTTGTATTACAGTAGTGATGAAAGCCAAAATCTGATTCTGGGGTTTAGCAGAAATAGAGCCAAGTGCACCCACTCAACTACAGAGGCATTGTCCTGGGAAGTGTGAAATCTCTTATTTTTTTAGGGAACAGGTGATTCAATTGCTCATCCAAGACTACCCAGAGAGCTTGTAGAAGAGGAGGGATAAAGCCCAGCTTGTCTCACGGTCACTCTTATTTTCCTGTCTTTGATGAAGCTTATTCTAAGCAGGATGATATGCCCGGGGCTTCCTGAGAACTTAGCTCTGCTTTTCCAACTTCCCATCGTATCCTACCTGGGCAAATATGAATGGAAAATTCTGGGGAAAAAAAACCTGGTCATGATTAGACATGTAAGTGCCTTTGTCTTTTGTCTGCAGGGAGCAGGACACGATCTGTGATGACTGTGCAGAGGACGGCACCTTCCGTCAGTATGTGCATAAGGCCTCTTCCCCTCGGGTCTGTGATTCCTCTGGCTACTGGACCCCAGAAGAAGCAGAAGGTAAACACCTCCTCTCTTTTCCTGGCTGTGAATCCCCTGGACAGAGATGAGATCTTGTTGGGAAAAGAAAAAGAAGCTGTCTTTCTTTTAGAGAATCTGTTGTCTCCTCTTTGGGGAGACGCTTTAGTGCAGGAAGGACTTCTAGGTTCCTAGGAGATACCTGGTAACTGCCAGCTGGCTTTGAACAAATAAACCAACACATCGATATTAACCCAGAAATGTGTTAATGAGAGACACTGGCCAAAGGGAGAGGCATTTCATTGAAATAAGTCTTACAACATAGATCTTGGGAACCTCATCCAAAACCTCAGGGGCATTCACGGGCTTTGATACAGCCTTGTCCAAAGAGAGCAAAAGGAGCTCCTTGCTCAGTCCCACTGAGTCTGTACCAAGCCCTGGGCAATCTGGGTTGGATGCAATTCCTCATTGGCAAGGTGAACAGCAGGGTGTCACAACTTGTGGTGAGACCCAGGTGTTGGTTTAGAGACCCACCTTGTGGGCATGGTGGTGGCAGCTTTCAGGGTCATGCAGCTGCAGTAGGAGCTGTTGGGCTTTTCATGCTGCCTCAATTCCTCCAAGGGCAAAGCAGAGGAGGCAGGACCCCAGGTGGAATGATCCTGTGGGCTGTATGTAGTGCACGTGCTGATGCTGTGTGGAGCCAGAGGACCTGTCAGTTGTGTGCATCTGCACGTCTGAGCCACTGAGGTCGACTGAAAATGTGCCAAAGTGACTGCTGAGAAAGTGCAGTTTGGACATTATTATGCCTTTGGGATGTAGCCCATGCTTTGAGAACAGGAGTGTCAGGTTGTAGCTGAGATTCTGCATCTGAAAACTCTTTAATTCAAGTATCTCTCGCTAGCATTGCAAGTTGAGGGCAGAGGGAAGTCAACTTAAAGAAATAATCAGATATGTGCTTGTTCAGTGATACCAAACAAATCAAAGCTTAGCTCATTTATTGTCAGTGGTTCCTGTTTCCCCCACCTATCTGATTCACTGGCAAATTAAAACTGCTTCTGGAATTACTGAATGTTGTTTTCTCCTATCCGTGACCTGCAATTATCACAAGTGCATGTTTGCTCTGGTGAAAAAAAGACAGGTTTTACGGTTTTTAGAAGACTAGTATTAAATGGATGCAGGCTTTGAATTGGTGCTGGGTCCTAAGAAACACTGGCGGTGGTGGTTGAAGACGAGGGTATTTCTACTACAGGATGATGAATTCCAGTGATGATTTCTAGGACTGAAATCACACCACCACATTTTTCTTGCTGAGTGGTAATCCACCACCAGGGGAGGCAGGCTGGGGATCTTAGGTCAGCCTGGGCACTGTCCTGGAGGTGCTGGTGGAGCAACAGCCTTCCAGAGCTGCTTCCTTGGCTTGCTTCCTGCCTGTGACCTGTTCCAGCATGTGCCTGTGGAAAGCTTTGGTGTCTTTGCTCTGCTTAGCCACTGTCCAAACACATGGAGCCACAGGGACACAGAGTTCAGGTGCCCTTGGCAAGCCTCCTGTGCCCATGACACTACAGAGCAAGCTTCGTGTCCCCCAGCTGTGTCCAGGCTGTCTCTAGAGCTACTGGTGGCACTGTGACCAGCTGCAGTGTGGGTACCATTGTCCCTGGTTTAGAGGGCTGTGAGACACCAGATCTGCCCAAGCCTTGTGTCTATATGTGTACCCAGGAACTGGGAGACTGGTGGTGCCTATTGCTTTCTAGGAGGTTAGGGCAGATGCCACCAGCTCTGGCACATGCCTTGCAGTAGGTATGGGTGTGCACCTATAGCACAGAGGTGCATAAGTGCCCACAGGGTACCTGCAGGGAGGATTGCCTCTCTGGGTCCCCTGTGAGGTCAGCCGTCACCTGGTTCTCATTAGCCTCCTCCTCGTCCTTTCTGCCCAGGGCCCCCGGATGTGGATCAGCCCTGTGAGCCCAGCCTGCAGGCCTGGAGTCCAGAGCTCCACCTGTACCACATGAATATGACGGTGCCGTGCCCCCAGCCAGACGGCTGCATCCTGGAGCTGCGCTTCCTGCACCCTGTCTACCCCGATTCCCTCACCCTCTGGACCACGTACCTCTCCAGGGGCTCTCCCAAGGCTCTGTCTGACATCGAAGTCTTGACAGACCAGGGCGAGTCCATCCATTTGGGCCCCCTGGACACCTTCTGTGATGTCCCCTTTACTGTGAAGCTCAACATCCCTAAAAAGGTGTCTGGAGTCAAAATCTACACCTTTGACGAGAGGATGGAGATAGACACAGCCCTGCTGACCTCCATGCCCCACAGCTCTCTCTGCTCCTCCTGCAAGCTGATCCAATACCGAGTCCTCCGTGACCCCCCATTTGCAAATGGATCCCCTGCTGCCCCAGCACAGGCGCACCGCCAGTTCGTCGACACGTGAGTGATGAGGCTGCTCTGTTGCAGGCTGAGTGGGTGGCTCGGGCAGTTTTGATGACTTCCTCAGGTCATGCCTTTGAATCCCTGGATGGTTTTGCTTGTGGAGTTTGTTTTGTTTTGTTTTCCCCGGGAATTACCATGTTCAGTGCCATGAACGACTTCCCCATTGAGCATCAAGGAAGCTTGTTTCAGGCCCATCATGCTAGCTCAACCCTTGCCCAGGAGCCCTGGCTAACTGGAAGGAGTTCATTAAACCCAGAAACATTTTTCCCATCAACACAACTAGTAAAATGATCGTTTGAGTTAATGCAGCTTCTCCTCAGCTCGGACCCTAGGGAAATGAGTGGCAGGCCACTCTGCATGACCTGGCAGAGACCCTTTTCCCACAGTCTCTGCCTCTGGCTGTTTAGAATATGAAGACATATGTCAAACTGTGATATTGCCTGAGCACAAATGTGTGATTTCTATAGCTGTGGTGAGCAAATCTGTTGCAGATGTATGAGTTGTTCCCTCCTGCTCTTTGTTCAAGTCCTCTCTGTTCCTGCAGGGAAATCATGCCTGGGCAGGTGTATCGCTACCAGGTGCAGGCAGTCTCTGGGACAACCTCAGGAGAAGCCTCCCCACCGCTTGTCCATGTCCACGGAGCACCCTACTGTGGGGATGGGAAGGTGACCACGTAAGTCAAGAAACCTAAGCTCTCAGCTGAGGTTCTTTAAGCTATCATGTCATACTGTCCCAAAGGGAAGCACTGGGTTGGTCCTGCACCCACGGGTATTTGTCTGAAGATGCTGCACCGGATCCCTCTAGATGACTCAATTATAGAGCTTGTATTGTAAAATGCCATGTGCATAGGAGATGGAGACAGTCTTTTTGAGAAGCAGGGTCTGGATGAGGGGTCCAACCTGAACATCCGCAGTGTTTGACTGCAGTGCTTAAATTCTGGCCCATCTCAGCAAACTGTTGTAGAGTCTGACCCCAAAGGGATCCGCTTCTGGGACTGGCCAATATAATCTTTTGCATAGGGCACATGGTGGTGGCCTTGTGAGAGTAGGTTCTGCCGCAAGCGCAGTTCCACACAGCGCAGTGTCTTTAGAGAGCTCTCTGGTCACTGCTTAGAGACCCCAAATTATGCACCACCTCTACATTGAGAGATCCAATGGTTCACCTGCTCCATCTGGGGATAATTATGCCAAATTTTCATATTTTGGCCTTTTCAGACTTCAACTTCTAGGTTACTCAGAATCACTTTCCTTTGAAAACAGCTTGCTTAACAGTGTGAGGAAAATGGACAGTTGAAGCAAGTGCAGGAGGGATTGTGGTACCGTATAAGACCCATGAAGGCAAAGAGGCTTACAGCAGGGCTAGCTGCTAAAGTGGTGTAATCTGATATGGTTTCAGCATGAATTCATACTAGATGAAGACTTGGTCCAGGGAGAGAAAATTACGACATCGGGTTCTGTTTTCAAAGTCGATTGAAAAGTGAGAGGAACAGAAATGGCCAGATAGCAGCTGAGATTTTTGACAGGCTTTCCTGTTCCTGAGCTGTTGGGGGTAAGGCTACACAGGAAGCTTTATCTATGACAGTTTTTTTCCTTTGTACCATCTGTGGAACAGTGAGCCAAAGGTGGGAATATGGAACACAGTGGATCTTTCATGTTAGATGAGGGTGAATGTGGGTAAGCATCACAAGACGTATGTCTGAAGTTTTTTTGCTCCTTGTGTTTTGGGATGCATAACTCTGTACACAAAGGAATAGGTACAAAATGAGGCATTTCTGCCAGCTTTTCCCATCAGGTCTATTTTCTGCAGTATGCGGCCAGAGCCTTTTCAAGGAAACTGCATGGGCTTTTTTCCTTATGAGATGCCATGCACGTCATCTGGGGGATGATTCTTGTGTCCTCTTGGGATAACCTTCTTTCTCTCCTTTCTGCCCCCCTCCTTCTCCAGCTCCCAGTAAAACACCAGCCCTATCTCAGAACCTCCTGCCCTCTCCAACACTTGCTTTCTCCAGCAGCAAGACTTCTTTGTGCTTGGTTCTCTACCTCCTCCATTGTCTATAGCTTCATTTTCTCCCATAGTTCTTGCCTCAGGTCTTATAAGAAAGTCACGGTACAGTCATGCCTTCTCCTATATGCTGTATATTCAACCTCTTTTTAACCCTGGCAAGATATGGTGTTTTCTCTCCTCTACCTTACTCCACATGGTGTTCTTCCTCTTCTCCCTGCTTCTGTGGAAATGGAACCAAGATATGGGGCCCTTGCTCATTACTGGGTGCAAGCACAGAAGTGTTGAGTCAAGGGCATGGTATTAACACATCTGGCTGTTGTCCTCTTAGGAGCATGGAGGAGGAATGCGATGATGGGGACTTGCTGGATGGAGATGGCTGTTCCAGGAAGTGTAAAAAGGAAAAAGGTTTCAACTGTGTCGGTGAGTCCAAATGGATTGAGACATCCTTTTGAGGCAGGAGTCAAAACTGTATGTTATTCACACTGCTCCTCAGTGCAGGGGATGATGCACCTCATCACAATAGAATATGGATCTATAGGTGGAATGATCCATGGAGCCTGTCAGGCCATTGTGGTGGGAAATCCCAGGGCTAAACGGCTAGCATGCCTCCAGGAACAGGAGGAGATGTATGTGCTTGGAGCCTGGTTTGTAAATGAGTCATCCCCGGTCTCCTTGTAGGGGAACCAAGCCTGTGCTATGTGCATGAGGGGGATGGCGTGTGTGAGCCGT